TTCTAGATGTCATCTTGAATACTTGATCGGATGCGTTCCCATATTTTCACTAACGAAAGTCTGTATTACAAGTTAAGAGATAATATATAGTTCTAATGTTCTATTAATAATATTTCTTTTAGCACACCTATCGATATCAGTTCATCGTCCAGATTCTTTAAGACGGTTAAATGAAAAAAATTTCGTCTGACTTCTCTCCAAAAGGCAAAAACCGATGAATTTAGATACAATGTTCAAAAAAGAATTATAAGTAATGAGGCTTATCACATAAAAATTAGTTATTTTCCATAATAGATTTTGATCGTGTAAACTAAACTAAACTTGAGAAACTAAATAGACATGTTTGTGTTTCATTAACTGAGGAATGACATGCATGTTCCGTAAGAGGCGTTTGTATTTGAAATCATATAAATGAAGCAGTTCTATTACGCGTACGTTGTCAATACAACACTATTGGCATCATATCATATTATCATATTCATATAGATAGCAACTTAGTGAAGATCTCATCAAATAATAGAAAAAATTATGAAAGCTGGTGTACGTACTTATATCATATATCTAACCTTCATATTTCATTAAAACGCAAAGTACGCCTTATCTTACAATTTATGGTCGTGGCACGTTATTAAAAAACTCCAAATAAAGTACTAATCAAGCGATCTACATGCACATAATGCACGTAGGAAGCCACAACAGTGCCACATAAAATAGCAAAACAAAACTAATCGTGATTATCTCTTCCTTTCTTCTGAATCAAGAAGTTCTTCGAGAACCCTATCGTCCAAATACTCAAACTCGAAAACTTCTCTTTGGTTTTGTCGACTCGCATTGGTAGAAGTAGAACCCGATGACGAAGAAGAAGAAGAAGAAGAAGCGTAAGGAGGGCGAAGCGAGTAGTCGTCCATACGTGAATAATACTCATTAGGGAAGTTGAGTATAGCGAGATGGCCCCTAAGGTTATAGGCTGCTCGGTCATAAGCCCGTGCCGCCTCCTCAGCGGTCTCAAATGTCCCTAGCCAAAGACGGGCACCGTTCCTCGACGGGTCTCGAATCTCTGCTGCAAATTTGCCCCATGGTCTCCTTCGAACGCCTCGGAAACGAGCTTGCTTGTCATCTTGTGATTGGTTGTTGCTCCTCCTGTTTGAGCTCTCCATTAACTTTGGTGGTTCAAGATTGGTTTGCTTTGTAAGAGTTTGGTCAGCAATGTTATTTAATAAGAGATCTATGGATGATGCATTATCATGCGTCGTCTATTTATATATAAGGTTGGATTGTCGCCAAGTCAGAATCGACGTTCGTTTTCATGTGACTTGACGATTCTAGGGTTGACTATTCTTTTACTTTAATACCTTTTCTATTTAATTTTTATTTATTTTGTTCTTTTATTTTATGCAATAATAATATATATTGTTTTCATCCAGGAAGGT